GATCCAGAGCCGGCAAGCCCAAAATGTTGCTATCTTCAGTGTAGGGGTAGCCCTTTGGCTCTGTTTGACCTGAAAGCAGAAAGAAAGCCACTAATTGACCACTCTGAGCCAAACCAGAGCTGTCAAGCCCAAAATGTTGCTATCGATAACTGCAATGTACAGTAGCTTAATTCATATTTCTTTCTATCTAGGAAATTCCCCTGTCAGGCACTCAGCTGATAGCTGTCGCTAACTGTGTTGATTCGTTTTAATATGGTGAACAATGCTCAATGATTCTCAGGAAATCTGGAACTTGTTGAACAACCTTGGATATTGTCCAACAAAGCAAAAGTGACTAATTATCCTTTTCATCGTTACCACATAACTGAAGGCGGTGCTGGCAGTTCGCCAAATGTTATTAAACCACGTTAAGGATCGCTGAACAACTTGTTTTCCAATGAAAGGCAAGGCAGTGCATGATTCAGGCAACATATTCCTTTTCAAGTACACAAATTCTCACGCATTGAGATCCACAAAATTGCCCTCCCATCTTGTCTTTTTTTCCTACAAAATGCCAGAGAAAAACGACTCTGACTGATAAAACCTCAGGTTGCACAACGAGAACACTGACAGCAAACAACATACAAGCTTCGGCTGGTTTAGTTTGCATTTTGGTTTGCTGAGAATGTATGTAATATAAATTACAATAAAAAATGTACTGTACATTTAAGTTGACACATACAGTGTCCACTTTAATGCTCTCATTAAATAAGATTGTATTCAGCTGACTCTTTAATCCAAGACGATTTACAATAAGGGCAGTAAGCCATAAGGATTCATACTAATGACAACAAGAAAACTGCTGACACATTCACTTCAGACGAGCCAGACCATTGAAAGTGCTGATGCATAAGTAAAACTCTTAAGTACCTTTTTATTTTTTATCAGCCAAGGTACAAGTGAAACAGGTGGGTTTTCAGTTTACAACGCATGATGCTAGACTCTGCTGTCTATACGTGAAGCTAAAATGCATGTATTTTTTCAGCTATACCTGGGTCCACTTCGAAGTGATGTTTTTTTGTTATTATTATTAGTTAATATTTGTTTTTGTTTTGAATTCATGGGTAGAGAGAAAACACATATTCATCTTTTTCAGATCACATACCGCTGCCTTAAAAACATTTGTTTATTTTCCTGTGGTTTCTCAGTTGCAGTAGCTGTTCATTCCAGCTGACTAAAGGGATGTTTCACTCAGACAAAATAACCTGGACTGTCCAGAAAAGGTTTTGAACATATCGCTTCATTATAAGATAATGTCCAACATGTTTTTTAATAAACTCAAGGCAGCTTTTAAGTCAGAATGCACTTGAACACAGTGAGCTACACTGATATTTTCAATGAGCGAGGAAGCTTGTGTTAATCTGGCGTGCTGAATTTTATACACAATCATGTAAGTATTTTTCCGCAGTGACTTCCATGTCAATAAATATAAGTACAAGACTAACTAATGTGGAGTCGTGTGGTGTAGTGGGTTGTGTGTTGGTTTTCGGATCAGGGTTCAAACCCGATTGCAGTCAGCATGTCGTTGTGTCCCTGGGCAAGACACTTCACCCCAAATTGCTCCTGTGGGGATTGTCCACAGTATTAAATATGTAAGTCGCTTTGGATAAAAGCATCTAACAAGTGACATGTAATGTCTGCACACTATGACAATGCATTTGTTGTTTTTTTGCCGGAAAAAAGTGTCAGCATTCTATTATTAATTTCACATTTCCTGCTTAAAAAAAGCCTGGTCTTTATTGCAAGTAAGGACGTTTTTGTACATGAGTTTTGGTCTTAATATGCTCAATATGGGCCTAATAAGGCAGTAGTACCACAAGAATAGTAATTCTCCCATAATAACACTTAATAAATATGATCTATTCTTGTGTAACAAGACATGAAAATATAAGTGTTAATTAAGTCTAAATAACTCAAAATTAGGTATTTCTATCAAAGAATATGTTCCCTATTTTAAAGTGAAGTCTTGTTCATAACCAATAAGCTAATAATTTGACTCTAATTGACCTGAACAGGTTCCCTATTCTAAAGTTGCCTCCTCTTCACACTTTGTAAATACATTAGCACAATACTGAAATTAACCTCAACAGTACATGAACAAAGCAGGCACACGTTGAAATATCTGTTTTTATTAATGAACCACTAAAGAGAGGTTCAGACACATGTACCAAAACATGTCAAGTTAAAAAGCAGTTAAAAATGATGTAATGAAGTCAATGGCGAGAGAAAAATTATCTTTCGATCCCGTTTGAATTGTGCCATGAATTACACATATGATGTTTGTCAATTTAAAAGATAATTTTGCAAGTGAAAAAAAAAAATGGTCGTACAACTGTGAAGTAACACTTTTTTTGTGTGAAACCGCTCAATGACTCTGGTCTCGCACAACACACGTTACCAACACCAAGACGGCCGTCACGTTGGCACATTTCACCTCTTTCTTTCAGAATGAGGTGAAAAGTATTAAACGAGGAGAAAATCACTAAAAGGCATGTTGAGAGCTGTATATACACAAAAGGGGAGTTAGTCGGTTCTGTATGCATTTTCTAGTTCTATTACTTCTTTCTGGACACTCCCACAAACTGTTTGTATAAATAGCAGAATCAGTGGGGATTACCTTTATCGAAAGAGCCTTTCTTCAGAGAAACTCCTCGCTCTCATTAAAAAGGTAAGAGAGATGCTTTATGATTTTTGATCAGTTAAGCAATGACTGGACAGTAACACATTCAGTGGGACATTTTATAGTAGTTGTATAATACTTTTTGCTTAAGTCATTTTAATTATGATACCAGAATTTGAAGGGTTTCTTTGCACTGAGGTTGATGTAATCACAGTTACTCGTATTAGTACTGAATGGTTATTATAGTTCTCTCACAACCAGGATTCTTCTGCTTTCAGAGTGAAAATGGTGAACTATGAAGTGACAGTATCCACTTCCTGCCTCGATGATGCCGGCACTTCAAGCAGGGTCCACATTAAGCTCGTGGGAAAAGATGGGGAGAGCGAACGCACCTGGCTTGAAGGACATTCCTCTTTCATCCCAGGAGCTGTAAGTCTTAAATATGCCTATCTATTTTCAAACGAAGGCTTTAACATGGTTCCTCAAACTGAACAAGAGATAACACACACACTTATACTAGTTTACAGAAACTAATATAAAGGTTTAATTATCCCTATAGGGTAATTCAGGTGTTTATTAAGCAACATGAATAAGATTGAAATACAAGATAGCACAGGTAAGTGTTCACACAAGGAACACTCTGCAGCCTTAACATTTAGTTGCTCTCTGGGAAGAAGAAGCAAAGACAGTGAACATATCTTCTGTATTGCGCACATTTTATTATTTTCTCAACCCTTATACATTCAGTCATTTTGTGATAATCATTTGGATCTCAAAGCTTATTGGTTATCAAATACACTTTATCTCTTGTATCAATGTTTCCAAACTATTTCTCTCATTACACCAGGTGTCTTCTTTCACTGTTTCCTGCCCTGTCTCCATTGGAAAGCTGCATGGGATAGAGCTAGACAAACAGCCACCAGAAATACAAGATGATTGGTTCCCTGTCAAGGTGGTAGTCAAATCCCCTGAGGGACGCACCTACAAGTTTCCCATTGTCTGTTCCATCACTACCAGTGATGTACAATTCTTCGATGAGGAAGGTTTGTGAAAATGTTTGTTGTACTGTACGATGTTCACTTTTCAGGAGACATGAAGTTACAACAAGTTATTCAAGCTGGTCTAAAAGGAATCCAGAGAAAATGCTGTGTGTTAAATCTTTTTCTGATTCTTTTTTTAAGCTCAGAGTACGCTGCCTATGTTAAGCAATTCAGGGGTACTTGAACGGGGATATCAGCAGACCCAACCCCCGCTGGACCGGAGAACTCTGCCGCAGGAACACCAGGATTTGCCACAAGGTGAGTGAGTATGTCACGCATCTTCTCAGCCAGTAGGTTTATTTCCGTTGACACAGTAGCTTGAAAGTTGTCTTGACGAGCATTTAAACCCTGGACCCCTTGGTTAATTGCTGACAGCTGTCCCTCATGTTGGTGAAGGAGTGTACCCTGCGCCTGCAGGGCCGTTCTTAACGTTGTAGAATCGGCTGGCGGGGTAGAATCGGCTGAGTCCATCTTGTTTGGTTGGTTGGTTCTGATACGATGGGCTCGTAAGAACTCAGATGCTTCGATTCCGTTGCTTTTTAATCTTCTTTATTGCAAAGAACTCAAAGCTTTTCAATGATGACTTCTAGGATCTACTAGGACTCTCCATATAATCACTAGGTACGACTAGGCAATGCAAAATAGTAAAATGCTGTGTGTAATCTTTTTCTGATTCTTTTTTTAAGCTCAGAGTACGCTGTCTGTGTCAAGCAATTCTATTATATCACGCATTCGGCACTGGATCGACCCAAATTGGCGATTGAAAGAATATATGTAAGTGCTCAGAGCGTATTCACATTTTAGTTATATTTATTCCAAAGATAACATGTATCCAAACCTCCTCCACCTTTGGGTAAATATGTTCATGATATGTAAAGGCAAATTAATCACAATGTGACATTGTTGTACCAGGTTTTATGAGTATAAAAAAAAAGCTAATAACGGCCTCACCACTTTGCTTTTTTCTATTTATCACAGCTGGTATTTGTATGGAAAAGGAATGCCCTATTGCATGAAGGCAGAAACGACTTATTCTCTGCCTTCGGAGGTCAAGTTCTCCTGGACCAAGACTTGGGAGTTTGACTCCAATCTCCTCAAAGGGTGAAGTCTAGCTAGCTACTGTATATGTTTACCTACCTGTGTTACCTACCTACCTACCTACCTACAAAATAAAGTTATTGTATTGTAATAAAGATTTTTCTTCTAGGCTGGTTAAGCTGCGGCTGGAGGGACTTTCTGATTCCAAAGAGAACTGGACTGATCTTGATCATATCAGAGGAATATTTAACACCGAGAGAAAATACTTACCAGGTGTACTATCATAGATTTTCAAATTATTAATTGATTTTGTAACCGAAAATGGTAAATCATGTGGAACCGAGAACAGAACCCTGAGAGATCCCACAAAAGACAGTTGTTTAAGATAAAGATTTTATAAAAGAAAATCATAAACTCAACTAAGTGTAGCTCTTTTGTCCAGGCTATGTCCGGCAACATTGGAAAGAGGACGCTTTCTTTGGCTACCAGTTCCTAAATGGTGTCAACCCCATGTTGATCCGACGTTGTTCAGCTCTGCCCAACAACTTTCCTGTCACTGATGAGATGGTCTTCCCCAGTGGTCCGCATACCTTGGCAGAGGAAATGAAGGTGAATGTCTTGATACTCTCAGTAGTTCTTTCCCCAATGACATGGTGAATTAAGATGTTCATTTAGTATGTGTAATATATATACTGTGTTGATGTGATTCTAATTGTTACTCATCCTCTCTAAAACAGAAAGGCAACATATTCCTGTGTGACTACAAGCTTCTGGATGGACTGAAAGCAAACATCATTGATGGGAAGCAGCAGTACATGGCGGCTCCCCTCGTCCTACTCCACAAAACATCTGATGATGAGCTGAGGCCACTCGCTATTCAGGTGAGATTTGCACTCAAGTAGCAAACATAAAAGGGATATGGATTGATTAACTATCATTGATTCAACTACCATTCAAACTGTAGAAGAAGTCGGCCTCTATGTTTATTTATTCCTGCTTGAGCTAGAGCCAGGCAGGAATAGTCGGATTCACTTTTTTTACAAGACACAAAAGCATTGATGTATAAAAGACAAAGGAACGTGGGGCTGCTGCTCTAAAGTGAACCCTTTGGTCTGACATGGGCTTCAATGAAAATGTATATTTCCCCTTAAAGGTTCTATATAAATGCAGTACATATATATATAGCGCTTTTCCAGTCTTTGGAACCAATCAAAGCGCTTTTACTCTCATGTCAGCATTGATCCATCCACACACTAATTAGGGGAGACTAATTCACACCCCAATTGGCCATTCTATCAGGAACAATTTAGGGATCAGCTTCTTGTCCGAGGACACTATTGAAACCATTGACCCGACAATTGGTGGACGCCGCTCTTCCTCCTGAGTAACATAGTTGCTATAAAACTACTTTCTATGTAAAGATATAGGAGTATTGATTACCTAAGAGGCGAAGTAAGTCACAGTCCGTGGACTAACTTCCACATTTAAGCGATTAACCGATTGATTGAAAAGCAGAGAAAAGTTATAGTAAATAGGCAAAGAAACAAAAATTACAGAAAATTGATCAATGGATTGAAGAAACCACATCACCCTTCCTTCTCCTGCAGCTGAAGCAGACTCCAGCAGGAGACAATCCCATCTTCCTGCCTACTGATTCTGAGTACGACTGGTTGATGGCCAAGATTTTCGTTAGAAGTGCAGATTTCAACCTGCATGAAATCAATTGTCACCTGCTGCGCACACATCTGCTGGCTGAAGTCTTCACAGTGTCACTGATGCGCAATGTGTCAAGGAAACATCTACTGCATAAGGTACCAGGAATAAGAATACTTGAATTACTGTAGCTGTATTGTTTCAACTTGCTTTCTTTGTTAGAATGTAATAGTGTTACTAACAGAGTTCCCTCTTTCCAGCTGCTCTTACCTCACACTCGTTACACTCTGCAAATCAACGTCCTAGCTCGAACAAACCTCATATCTGAGAACGGAGCTTTCTCACAGGTACGGAAAGAACCAACTTTTTTAATATCATGTACAGTATTTGTCTCTAACTATATCCTGAAATATTGACTGTTTCCTAGTTTGTATCTTCTGGTGGAGAGGCTTTGAAGACTATCCTGGGGCGATCACTGTCCTCATTGACCTACAGCTCCCTCTGCATACCAGAGGACATCACTGAGCGTGGCCTGGAGGCTGTGCCCAACTTCTACTAGAGGGAGGATGGACTCAAGCTCTGGGATATCATCAAAAGGTATAATAGTGTACGCAATTTCTATTCTGCAATAATAATCATGTGCTAGGGATGCAAATAATGTATATTGTAGTTGCCATGCGATAAAGACTCAGATGATACTTAGGGTTAGGTTTGTTGGAACCAAACAAACAACTGACTCACATAAAAATAATTTAGCTTAGCAGCGGTCTGTTATCGAGTATTAATACCCTCTGATATCTGGAATGACCAATCAGAATCGAGTTTTCAACTCAGCCATGTAATAATACATGTTATACATTTTGTTTGTTTTGAAATCCCAGTAAGGTTGTAAGGTAACCATTAGACTCTGGTAAGGTTGTTACTCACGGTCACTGTTTAACAACAAATGCATGCAGCATGATACTTCATATAAGACCACAAACTTAATTTGCTGGTAGCATAGGCGTCATTTTCGCTGGGGACATTTCCCCTACACTTTTAGAAAGTATATTTTGTTTGTTTTGCAGGCAGGCAGGCAGGCAGGCAGGCAGGCAGGCAGGCATCATGGAAACCAGGTTAAGCTGGGCTAACTCAGCAAAAAAGCTATATTGGCATGTCTTAAAAAATGTCAAACTATTCCTCAGAGTTAGGATCCTCTTTGTCAAATATTTCACCAAAATCTTCAAAAGCACAGACCTGATTCTTCTGGGCCATTCAATTATGTCTCTACCGAGTGTGAAACTAGTGCAGTGTGTATAATACACCAGCTAGAAATGTGTTTTACATTTCAGGTTGGTGCAGGGAATGCTCAGCTTCCACTACAAGAGTGATGCCGATGTTAAGTATGACGAACAACTGCAGGATTGGATTTCAGAAATATTTAAATATGGATTTCTTTCCCGATCATCAACAGGTGGGCTAAAGAAAAGCTAAATGTTTTATATAATAACTGTGCACATTTATGTACCATTGTAATGTGATTATTTAAAAAAGGCGTCTTAGTAAAGCATTTACTTCCCTCTGGTTCTCAGGGATCCCACAGAGATTCACCACCGTGGAGGAGTTGGTGAAGTTTGTCACCATGGTGATCTTCACCTGCTCAGGACAGCACTCAGCCGTGAACTCTGGACAGGTGAAGCCTCCTAATATACCACAATTATTATGTTTTTGTGTGGAATGGGTAAATAAGGTTTTATTAGTATTTTTCTGTCCTGGAGAACGATGGATGAATTTAGTTAAAACACATTACATTAGACTTAGAGGATTGTAAGCAAGTCTTTGAAATAAATAATATTTGAAAGCTATGTTAGCAAGTCAGCAAGGCTGTAGATAGGCACAGTGAGGCTTTAAGCCAACATCAACAAACTATAACATGCTGTTAAACTCACAAGAGCAACTGGATTGAACCCACAATGCAAAACAATGAGAACAGAAGCAGGAGTTGTACTTGAAAAAGGTTTTATTGCAAAACGGGCAGGTACTGTGAGTTTGTGGATGTAGTAGCAGAAAGAGCTGACACTAAGAATCCAGGACACAGGGCTGAGGGATATATAATATACTATATAATAAGAGCAGCATTGGCTCAGTCTCTACGGACTTGGCCTGGGAACCGAAGGGTCACAGGTTCACATCCCGATCAGACCAAAAGAAAATGAGTGTGCACTGACAGCTGGAGCCAGTTCACCTCCTGGTAACTGCTCCCTGGCTTCTTCACTCTGTCACCTCTCATATCCTGCATGTGGCTCTGTCTTCTTCTTCTTTTCTTTCTTAATAGTGAAAATATTTATTTAGAAAAACATTGAACATCAAGGAGGCACTACAGAAAACTCTGTCATCTCCTCTCCTCATCCTCTCTGCACCATTAATGTCTGCACATGTTTTGTTCTAAATGTAATGGCAACAACATATTAATTTATTGCAGTATGACTATGGTGGCTGGATGCCCAACGCTCCCTCCACAATGCAACTTCCTCCACCAACCAGAAAGGGGACAACAAGTGAGGAAACAATGCTGCAGACATTGCCGAACAAGAGTCAGACAGCTAAAGCAATGGCCACCTTGTGGCTACTCACCCACTCTGTCGCTGACGCAGTAAGTGCCCAAAACCTCCTGTGAAATAAATTACATATCACCTCAAGATGTTCAGATGCTGTATCAAATCAATTAATATTATTAGCATTATATATATATTGCCAAATGTTGTTTTATGTTTGATATACATTTAAATTTGAGCAGTAACATTTATTTTTGATGTACAATTGATGCCATCAGGTACATATTGTCCACTACCCTGATGCCGACTTTGACGAGACGATTCCCTGCGAGCTGATAAGGGCCTATCAAGGAGAGCTTCAAACATTGAGTGCACGCATCCGTATTAGAAACTTGTCCCTGCAGGTCCCATACACATACATCGATCCAGCGGTGGTAGAAAATAGTGTGACTATCTGAATATCAGAAGGAATATGTTCCTGAGGTGCTGGCCAAATTCACCTTCCTATTAACCAAAGTAGAAATGGGGAAAAACTGCACGCTATTAAATAATGTTGGTGTGGGGGAAGGTAACTACTGCGTTTGATCATTGAGTGATGATCTGGGATTTTTTTTAACAGCCTGATTGATAAAACGGAAAATGTACAGTTTTAAATCATAATCGACATGTTATTTCTTCTTATTAGCCAATTAATCAATACACAGGGTATCTTAACAAAATAAATAGCTCCTGGGAAAATATTATTTTGCATTACAACTGTAAGACTTCAATTAACTGTGCCTTATTACTTATGGTAATAATGAAAAGATAAATATTTGTAGAGGGAATTTTGTGTTGCCATATTCACTACATGCCGTGTAACGTATCTGTATGTATAAAAAAAACAGTTAGTGAGAAGTTTCTTAAGATATCCATCTTTCATGGACGAAATGGGACAATTCCAACTTGTTTGTTTAAACTTGTATGTGATATGGAAAATGTAATAAACATGGTGTGGGTCATCTGAATATAAAAGTCATGTGGTGGATTTTTTGTTCCCCGAGAGACGCAACTTGGTTGAATTACTTATACTTTAATAATGAATTAATGATATTAAATATATTACTTAACTTTTTTTGGTAATGATTATTAATTCCTTCTGATAGCCATTTTAGTTCCCTTATTGAGCAAATGACTCTTTATGTATGTCAAGCTACAGATTCAATAGGATTAGGAACATTTTATTAATTATTAATTGTATTTAACTATTTCTGGACACAGGTATAGTTATGTTGACATATTGATATTACAGGTCCAGCCTTTATTATTAAACACAAATAAAAATCTCTAAAACTTGCTTAAGAGGAACCTGTGCACTTGAAGCACAGCTGAAGTAAGAAACAATGCAAAGAGTGAAAATACAAAATATATAAATAAGGTACCATTATTGCACACATTGCATGCCACATATTATCCCGTAAAATAAAATAATAAAATAAAAGTGTGAGTGACTAGCAAATGATGGAGAGGGTGACGGTTATTGTCACATGCTGCAACATGTTGTACAATATCCTCCTGGGACCCAGCCCATTGAAAATGTCCACTGTAGTGGACATTTTGTTAACATGCATCTACTTTGACTCTTTTGAGCTACTCTATCAATCCCTGATGTACTGTACAGAGGACATCCTGGTCTTTCCAGTGATATGTCATTGGTTAAAATTGCATGCTGGGAAGTTCCTCTTTCTTTTCATCCACAATGGCTGGCATACCAAAAACAAAATGTTATAGAAGCAGGAGGAGAAGTCAAATATTGTTGAATAATTGTAATTTTTACCATGAAAATCATACTGTATATGTTCTTGTTTATTAACATGTGAGGAACTATCTAATTTGTTCTGAAAGCAATTAAATAATTCAAGTTTTCAAATAACAGCTCTTTTATAAATGTCCATTCTAGTGGACGTCAGGACCATCTTCATGGACTTAATGACTCAATATTGTTGCAGGAGACGGAACTGAAGCAGACATTTTCTGTANGAGACAGATTTTTTTAGGCAGGCCCTGTCCTCACAGGGGGCGCTTGTGGGGTCGTGGGTTGGTCAAGTTTTTAATTCAAGCTTCTCAGGACTCGTGCTGACCCACAAGCGCCCCCTGTGAGGACAGGGCCTGCCTAAAAAAATCTGTCTCTGCCGGGTCCATGTTTTTTGGCCAGATAATTCTGTTAAGGCTGGGTCCAAAGTTCAGGACCTACAATGGCAGAGACCAGATGGATTCAGTTGTTTAACCAAGTTTAATAAAGGAAAAAAGGAGCAACTAAAAAACAATGAACAAAATGAAAGTGGATCTTGTTCACGCTGGTGGCGGCGGCAGGACTCAGGCTGGCTCGAGCAGACACTGGAAAAACAGAGGAAAAAACAAGGGTACTCTTCAACAAAAACTAGCAAGAGAAAATCACACGTCGCGCTGCGCATGCGCGCGATGGACATATCCAGTGCTTAAAGCACCGCCTCTGGTGGTCATCCGGGACTCATAGAACCGTAGTTACAGCCGTAACTATCGTTTTATGGAGGAGTTGATTAGATGAGCACAGGTGCTCCTCATTGTGAACCAGCTGCGCCTTCTAACGATCACCACACTGCACAGGAGAGAGAGAGAAGACAGAGGGGAGGAGGAGAAATCAAAACACCTAAACCATAACATTATACCCCAAATCAGCACTTTTGAAACAGGAAGTGAAATAGAGGGATATGAGGCATGGCTAAAATGGGTAATCTGTTTGGTATTTTGAGCAAAACAGTTCATAGACATGTTTTTTATATCTTTGTATATATCTGAGACCTATGCTATTGCCTACAAATAGCATGATAGGTCCACTTTAACTAAACAAACCCCAAGTTACCTTTTCAGCTCTACACATGCAGGGTTAAACAAGAACCAGTGGTCCAAGGTGTGAGCTCCATGAAAAGCTCTAAGTGTTTGGTTTACACATACTGGAGACAAACAGTAAATCCCCGCTCGCTTCATTACGCCCGCTTTGCGCGTGGCTGTGGATAAGGACGTATTGATTATAATGGTCCAGCCCTTTCAAGATAAACAGTCCTGGAGGATCTGCGGTCTGATCAGATTTTGCCCTAAAAAACACACGAGCAGATTACACATATCGTCCTCACCGTGCTTAAGATCACCCTTTCTATCCTCTGAATTCATCTGGTCACACGGTGCTGGACATGTGTGTGTTTATAGACAGATAAAGCCACATTTGTCTTATCTCTCAGCCTCACGTTCTCCCTCAATCTGCTTTCTACGCCTCCTTATTTATATGTTCTGCCCTCCTTTTCTCCGCGTTTCTCCCCCTCTTGATTCCTCGATGTCTTTTCATCCCCTCCTGTTGTTCTCTTACTTCATTTCTCCTCACCACAGCTGGTTTCTGCTCATCCAGATCAAACAGGGAATTGAAGCGGCAGTCAAGATAGCTGAAAAAGAAATAAATCTTTGTTCTATTTGAAAGGGTTGGCATTAAAACGTTTTTATTTGTCAGTGAATGAGTGTAGTAAGTGTTTGGGTTTGAAATGATAACGCTAAATGATAAATCCCCACTGGAGAATTGTAATACCCGTGGTTAGTGTACTCATGCTATTCAGCTGCTGGATTTTTAAAGCTAGTTGTGTAATAGAGTGACAGTGATGTTGTCGCAGAATTACAAAGGCTTCAGTATAATTATATAGCTCTGACTCTGTGTTTGAGTAAAGAGTGTGTGTGTGTGTGTGTGTGTGTGTGTGTGTGTGTGTGTGTGTGTGTGTGTGTGTGTGTGTGTGTGTGTGTGTGTGTGTGAGAGTGTGTGAGTGTGTGAGTGTGTGTGCGTGCATGTGTTTGACAGAAAGTGTTGAGGCTCAGCATGCTGTGTAACTGCTGACGAATGACGATTATATTACCCAGCTGCCCTAGGTGTTAGACTTGCCTGGTGGTCAATTGAGAGCATTAAAAAGTTCATCTGAAGCTAATATGAGTCTTTAGCTGTCTGAGTTAAAAACATCAAGTGGTTTTCTCCAAAGTTAAGGCCTTATTTCATGCATATCCTTATCGTATGATTAGGAACATTTCCCATTAGATTTTACAGGTGGTGTTCCCCTCTCTCTTATATTCAGAATGTTGCTTTGGTATGTTGAAGCATGTTAAAATACCAAGATGTTTTAGCTTTATGGATTCATGCATGCATGTTCAAAGCTAGGATTGGCATTTGACAAAAAGTGATAACAAAAGTATCAGAAAACACATCAAATGAAGGTGATACAAATAGGAAAAAGATGAAACCCCATAATCAATTGCTACCAACTTCAATTGACACCTACATTACACTTTTTTCTTGTATATACACTTTTTTTTGTTGGAAAATAGTAATGTTGTGCTCTCATTCATTTATTACTCAGGTAAGCAGTGAAATCTGTCACCATTAATGAATACAGCTCATGTGATTGCATTTTAGTAAGTTTTAGGGAAAATCTCACAAATAATTGTTAATGAAAGCTCCATTGAAGTAAAAATAATGGATGTTTCCGAGGCTTTTTTTGTTGTCATCTGTTGGTGAACGAGCCTGATGTGATGTCCCACCAACAGTCTTCTGATTGATTTGTACGAGTTGCATACTGTCTGATATTCGTCTAATGTCATCTCCTTCCTCTCCTTGCCTCTACAGTGCAGTGTCTGGAGATGACCACTAAGCGGAAGCTGATTGGCCGGCTGGTGCCGTGCCGTTGTTTCCGTGGCGAAGAGGAAGTGATCTCAGTGTTGGATTACTCCCACTGCAGCCTGCAGCAGGTCCCCAAGGAGATATTCAGCTTCGAGAGAACTCTGGAGGAGCTCTACCTCGATGCCAACCAGATTGAGGAACTACCCAAGGTAATTATGTTTATGTTTATATCCTTCTTCTCTCTATAACCACTTTTTAAATTGTTGAACCTGGACGAAGCTGGTCAGTTATCTCTGGCCTTGTAAATAACTTTCTGTTGACCAATGTTGCATTTATGAAATGCCCACTCCAGACCTTGTTCCAGAATTAAAATGCGTGTATTTCATGCTTTTACCTGTTGGTGGAAAGCACAGCAAATCTGCATATTTGCACGTAAAACTAGATAAAGTAATCAAAATTAATGTATATATTCCTTTTGTTTCATATTTGACAAAAGGGAAACTTTATTCCCCAATCATAACATAAACTGTTCTGACTTGTTGGCTGTAGTTTAAACTTGTATATGTATTAATAGTCTGTGAGCCCATTATTTGCTGATACAGAGACACTCCAGTGATATGTATTTAACGTAACTTACAATAAGAAATGCTATTAATCTTTGCCCTTCTAAGATCTTGCTCACCAGCGGGACAAAATGCTGGTAGCAAAACAAAATGGCTTATCCTATCAGATTCAAATTAGGATACTTCTGACTCAGCTTGTCTGTCTACATTGTTCTCATCTTCAGGTAGACTCAATGTTCTGAAGTGAATCCTTATATTAGTGTTTCCATGCTATCATCAGCAGACTAAGTCATAACGATTTTTGTTCTGTGAATAATGACTGCACAACTTTTCTATTCAATCCATTCAATAAGTGTTGGGATATTTCCTTGTGGAGGGCTGTACATGAAAGTTTCTTGAAAATCAAATTAACTTATCAGCATTGCCATTTCTTGAGAGTCTTGAGACTGAGATCAGCAATATTGTTTTCTTGGCATGTTTATACACAGTACTTCAAACATCATCACATAATAGACATCGGCGAGAGGCATCTTAGGCCACCAGAGACATTAAAGAAAAACACGTTGCAGTAATGAGACAAAATGCCCTTCCAATATTTCAAGGAGAATAACAGGTGCTGTTTATAGGAGGGCACCGCTGTCTCATTTTTATTGATGACCTGTCCTGGTTTAAATGACAGAGATGTCTAAATAGATGTCTTAATATAACTTGCATGAAAGGAGACTGAGTCAAGCCAAACCTGCATTCAGCTGACAGGAAAAGGCTTGATTATGCACATCTGTATGTTTATGTGTGTGCTAAGAGCTTCCATGAGTGATTGGCCTTTATAAAATAGTGACTTGAAGAGCTCCTTAAGTGTGTGTGTGAGTAAGTGATTGTGTCTCAAAGTGTTCTGGCTTGGCCTGACCCATGACACACAGCCAGTCTGAACAGTGACAGTAGAATGTGGCAAAGATTATATAGTGAACATCTAAACAGGTTATAAAGTACATAAAAGTGTATCATTTAAAATGATATGTCCATAAAGCAGCACTTTATTTATGGCAGTTAAAATAAACTCTTCAAATGTCTGCATGGTAGGTTCACTTTCTTTGTATAAGGTCTTTGAAATTGCTGGCAGGAATGAATGTGAGTGAGCTTATATTTGCTTGAATTGTAAGGAGATTAGATATTACAAAGTGCTTTGCAAATGCAAAGTGATAATTGGATGTTATGGTACAGTAGACCTCAAATCACACTCTGAGTGACACTTCGCAGGTGAAGGTGCTACATGTTTACACTGGCACCGGTGCAACTTACAACACAGCACACTCTGGAAGTGTTTCGGCACATTTCATCTTGATTTATATGATCAGCTCAAAAAGAGAACCAAAGTTCACTGTAGGAACCATTTCATTATTTGTTAAGTTTAAAATGTTTTGACATTCTTACAAATGGTTTAATTTATACTTCTACGCAGGAGATCATCAGCATTTACCACCTTTAATAATAATAACATTGATGTTATTGAATTAAACTGTTAAGGGAACCAAAAGTGAGGCAAGTTATGCTCCACCTGTGCTAACTGAGTGTGGTTATAGAAGAGTTCTCCAACTACACTACTGTATGTAAAGATAAAATACAACGCTTACACAATTATATCATCTCAGGCTAGGAAATGAAGAGATTTGTGTATTTGGCTGTGCAGCAATAGTGAATTGAGACTTTATACACTAGTAGCCCACATGGGCTGTTTGCCATTATCATCTTATGTTCTTGCTTTGGATACAGACATTATGCCAATTTGAGTAAATCAGAAGATAGTCTGCACACTTCAGTTAATTGTCTTACTTCTTGAACAGTCACGTTAGCATATAGCTACAGTAAGCACTACAAAAGCTAAGTAATGCTATTTACACAATGTTTGCTTATGAGTAAACTACTCGCCAGCATGCAAATGACATTAGTGATTTTGTAAAGTAGTTGGCATAATGACAGTTGAGTGCTCTTTTGAAAAAAAAATAGTAGTAGATTTTCAGTTAAGATAATTACAACAAACTCTTTATTTCTTCCTTCTAAAAATGGGTCTATCACTGGATTTCTGGAGCTGGAGTGCGTATTCCATGTTTTTGCATTTGTTTTTGCATGTGCTTTGGTATTTACTGTTTACTTTTCTGTATTCCGAGCACTTTCCTTGTTATGTATGTGTTTCACTGTTTTATATGTTTTGGCATTTGCAGTAATTCTCTATTAAGGCCACATTGCTCTCACTCGAGTGTGTGTTTTCTCCCTAGGGGCCACCGTATGTAGGAGATTAATTCTGCATTATTCATAGAATAGGCCGCTGAAATGGCACTGCTTTCCTACAACATTAAGCGCTGCGTGCCTCCAGCTGACTTTCTGTCTCTCTTTCCTTTGGTACCCTCTACTAAAGGTCCTTGTGATATTGTCAATTGACCATAATAATTATTTATTCCTCTCTTTTGTTTCCACAGCAACTCTTTAACTGCCAGGCCTTGAAGAAGCTGAGTATGCCGGACAACGACCTCTCCAACCTGCCCACCACCATCGCCAGCTTGGTCAACCTCAAGGAGCTAGACATCAGTAAAAACGGTAATATTCCTCAGATGAAGAACAAACCTGAATATAAAAAGAAAACTACTGCTAACTCTTAGGCATCAATTTGAACAGCAATTCAAATGTTGGTCAACAGCAATTTGACTCCTAAGACCTCAGAATAAAGCCTCGTAGTCACAATATTCTCAATTTGATATGATTCTATATGACAAAGCTTGACATTGTATAAACATTCACAAAACTCACTGTGGATAACAATTACATGTCTTTCTTGTGATTCCCTCAACAAAAAGTCGAAATAAGTCAAATGTTCTCTTCCATCTCTGTGCCACTGTGTCACAGGTATCCAGGAGTTTCCCGACAATATAAAATGCTGTAAAGGCCTGTCTGTGGTGGAGGCCAGTGTCAACCCTATCACCAAGTAAGACACCAACGGACATTATCTAGAAACATCTTACTGCTATCAATGGAAGTCTCTAGTTTGATGGCAGCACGAGTTAAAATCTATTTCACAAAGTTCCGTTTTGAAAGATAGACAAACATCTTCAATAACATAAAAACTGAAGAAGCTAATTGATCTGCTTCTGGATAACAAAGTCAGTAAAACCCTGACTCTATCACCATGTATATTTATTGATGGAGACCAATTGGTGCACCACGTTCTGTTGTTAGGACCAATTTTATCAACCAGTTTGAGAGGACCTGGATCCCGCTCAGGATTGTTTGATGTATTCAGCCGTTGAAACTTTTTTTTGTCCAGAGACGGACAGTATTGTTTATCTTTTGGCACTTCATATAGCTGTTAACTGCATCCACCTTAGACTACCATACAAACATCCTTTGGGTTCAGCTTGGACTGAACTATAGAATATATAATTGCTACTATAAAAAGCAGATGATGTTCACTATTTGAGCATCAGCTGCTAGTTACTGCGGTGTAATGTCCATGAAGCCTGTTTGTGCATGTGAGATGAGCATAAGATGAGTCGATGCACTGTTATAGAAAGATGTTTAAATCAATGTTGGCACTTCAAGGAAACAAAACTTGTTCTTCTCTTTCTCATATTTCTTTCTGTGTTTCTGACATGTCATTTCCCTCTCTTCCAGACTCCCAGATGGTTTTACGCAGCTCCTGAATCTGACCCAGCTCTTCTTAAACGATGCCTTCTTGGAATATCTGCCCGCTAACTTTGGCAGGTAAAGTGATGCATGTAATTGTTCATGTGTGGTTGGTTGTGACTGTGCTGGATTGGGTGTTTTACATATTTCAGGCACTTTAGGCTCTAACCTACTGCCACTAGTTTCTATTGTAAAGATTATATATGTTGAAAATGAGCATATATAGGTTTGTCAGTCTTGAAATGGTTTGTTCTGCTCATAATTATTTGTTCTTTAAAAAAAAAAAAAGAAGCAGATCATCATATGTTTTAAACAATTGATTTGAATAACTTAATAACAAACAGTAACATTTGTCTTGTTTCATGTGACTTCTGTCTTTCAGACTTTCAAAACTACGGATCCTGGAGCTTAGAGAGAACCACCTGAAAACCATGCCAAAGTAAGAAAAAACAACACAGTGTTTGTATGTGTTAGAAAGAAACAAATACGGGGAAGACACATTCATTATCATGTACAGCTGCGCACATACAAACAAACACACACACACACACACACACACACACACACACACACACACACACACACACACACACACACACACACACACACACACACACACACAGATGCTTCATGATATTAGCGGGATGATGCTTGCTTTCCCAGGTGTCCGGATTAAAACTAGAATTATCTCTGGCAGGTGGTCATAAATACCGATAAAGCCAAACTGTAATGTATCTCTTCTAACTGTTTTAAATGATTACTGTTTGAATAAAAAAAACTAACTAAGAGAGAGAACCTTTTTACTTAACAAGATAAACCTTAGAGTAGCAGTGATTATTATTATTATGTTAAGCGATAATGACAATGTGGCTGCAATTACTACTTCACAACTACCAGTCCACAATGCCCCTTGCCTTTCAACTAAGAATATGGTTAACCTGCAGCAATTTGGAAAACCTGTTTAGTTTTTGTCTATAAATAAAGAAACTACATGCATAGTCAATGTCAGATTTGCAATAGCAACAATCTCGATGCTAGATTTTAATTAAACTAAATGTTGAGGTGATTTTAACATTTAAAGGCTGTATTTGTGAGTGAGTAAAATGGGGGTGTGACATGAGAAATGCTAACATAATTAATTATCAGAATTGCAATAGAAGCAAACATAAGAACTAGAAACAAGACAAGCTTTGAAGGATAATAATTCAAACTTAAAAAAAATATAAAAAATAAAAACAATTATTATTTTAGTGTACAGTATATTGGCTTTGTGGTTAGGTGGGAAGAACAAATATATACATTTATTAAGTCACAATGCACTTTTATGTATGTATTCTCTCTTCTCAGGTCCATCCACAGACTGACACAGTTGGAGAGGTTGGATCTGGGTAGCAATGAATTCACTGAGATGGTGAGACTGACAAGCAGCATAACTTAAGTGTTTAAATGTGCAATATGTTGTACATTGAGATGGTCCTACATGATCACAGCAAGCTCAAATCTGAACTCCTCTGTAGACGTTTACCAGTTGAACTATGTTTATTTGTAAAGAGAACAAGAACCCGAACATAGATGCTTTGTCCTATTTTGGGAGCCTCTGCCCTGAAAGTTCATATAGAACAAATACGACATATGGTGAATCCTCAGTAGGCTGTCTCAGTGAGGCAGGAGCAAGTTCAGCGTACTGTCCTTTAGTTGCACACTGAAATGGGACCTAGCGACATGGTAGAGGTAGAAAGGTTTGGATATTGCATCAAGGTCAAGCAGGAAGTCTGCTGTGAGATTGCCAGTCTCACCCTTTTTTTTATTGTTCTCTATTTATGCCAAAGATCTGGAGATTCATTAAAGTTATTATTTGGATCTGTATATGTTCACAGAAGGTGTCCTATGATTTGACTGAATTATACAGTTGTTTTATATAAATAGCAGCATATCTGCATATTCGTTGTTGCTCATGTGCTCTGTACATGCTGATATGGTTTCCTCTGTTTGACTTGTTAGCCGGAGGTGTTGGAACAGATCCACAACCTAAAAGAGCTGTGGCTGGATAACAACTCTCTACAGTGTATACCAGGGGTAAGAACAAAGACACTTTTGCAGTGATAAAAAGGAACTATGAAATTACTTTTTCTATGAAATGACGCTCTTTTCTTTCTCTCCACCTACCGGCTGCAGGCCATAGGAAAACTCCGTCAGTTGCGGTACTTTGACTTAGCTAAGAATCGCATTGAGTCGTTGGACACGGATATCTCAGGCTGCGAAGCCTTAGAAGACCTGTTACTGTCCTCCAACATGCTGCAGCAGCTCCCTGACTCTATAGGTACACACACACACACACACACACACACACACACACACACACACACACACACACACACACACACACACACACACACACTCACACTCACACTCACACTCACTCACACTCATACCCACACAAACATTCAAGCTGATGACGCTGTAGCAACGCATTTAAATTCACACCTGTGTATCTCCTGAATGGGAGCAGCACAGGACTGTGGTTTACATATCATAAGTAAGAGTTGTCAAGTCAAAGTCAGTTTGTGTGTACAGACACTGTTTAGCTGTAATAGTGACGTAGCACAGATAACATAAGATAAAACTGGATTTATTCTATATTGTTCTAATTTAAATCACATGGAAAGATATCCCACGCCCAGTGATTCCTGAAGGTTAACATCTTTAAAATCAGGTTTTTAATCTTCAGTAATATAGAACAGCTGGCCAGGGTAGTTTTAGCAAATGCTTCTCCAACAGGAATACATTTCGCATTTGTTTGGGACTATTTTTAGACCTTGATTAATATGCATTTTATTGCGCTGCCTGGGGAATATTTATGGCAGCAGGATGTGGGATTGACTCAAAATAAACTATAGTGTTTCTTGTAATGAAGGAAATGGCACCGACTGCAAATATGTGGCTAATAAAAAGATGAATAAGCTATATCACGCAGTGGCTACAAAGAGATCCTCAGAAGTAGGACCAAATCTTTGTTGGTTTTAGAAATGTCATCGGATGTCTTATAAGAATAAGAATGGTGCCAACTTTGTACTTAAATCCACTTTTTACAGTCAATCGTTTCAGAGCTCTGTCTAATATTTACGAGATGACTTTTGTGTGTCATTGTGATTTTTATGTGTGTTTGTATATTGTGTAGGAATGTTGAAGAAGCTGACAACATTGAAGGTAGATGACAACCAGCTGACCTCACTGCCTAACACCATCGGGAGGTAAGAAACACACACACATGCACACAAACACACACATGCTCTAAAAGAAAACAGATAATGAACAATGCTTTGTCAGATTTTTTTCAGCAGGATTATCTTTGGTGGGTTGTTGTTGACTACTGTTAGCTGCTGTGTTGTTATGCTGGCTCATGATTGGGCCGTTCTGTGTGTTGTGTTTGCTGCGTTGCCGTGGCATTAGTCCGAAGCCCAAGCACGGGTGAGTAACATTAGTCTACTGGATCCAGGGGTGCGTTCAGAGACAGATAGATGTTCAGCTGCGTTACAAATACAAACAGACATGCTCAAAAATAGCTGGGGCTGTGGGAAGCATTTAAAATGTATCCAAATGACATGCAAAATAGAAGGAAAAAAAATCTAAATGTGGAGGTAACATTTGAATAACATCTTAATTTTCTAATTGAATATGGATTGGAGACACAAATGATTGCATGTAAAATTATTACTGTAATTTCATGATAATAATTCTTATTATAAGCCATCACAGTTCAGATTCAAGTTGCTTTTGAAAGACAACCTTTTAATAATTGTAAACAGAAGTATTTTTCATTGAGTCTTTTTGCTGTTTTCTTAAGAGATTGGGAGAAAGTAACACAGCAAAGTCTAAAGCAGGATAAATATGAATTTAATTGGAGTCAATTGTTTCTGTTCCTTCTTGCTGTTTGAGTAGTCTCCTGGAACATTGTGTGAATAAGATGATCTATGATGGATTATATTTGTACGACTATTTTACATTCATTGATTTAAATGAAACTCCCAAAAACACTTTTGTATCTGAACGCTCTGAAAACATTTTGTCTTCCTGAACAAATCCCAGGTTTCAGCCTCAATAAGTAGTTCTGTAGATCCATTGCTTCTCCTCTGATTCAACCAGAAACACCTGCAAATGATCATCTTCTTACCCCTAAGTGTTGCTTATTAATGATACATGTGATAAGTGTACCTGTGCCTGTACTTCAACCAACTCTACATTGTATTCTATCTGCGTTAGTACAACGGGGTATTTACTGTGTATGCTTTATATACACAGAGCTGAATCAGCATATTTCTCTACTCGTCTGTATTGATGTACAGCCCATTGTGGATTATATATAATCCAATAAGCAGTGCAGTTACATATTCAAGTATGTTTTAAGGTTATTACTCACAGCTTCAAAATGGGCAAGAATATTTTACACCAGGTAACTATATTGGCTCCTCTCTATGAGTTCACTGTAATGCATTACATGAGCTGAATCCTTTAACCAGATGTTACCTTTAGTGTTCAGGGTGCGTTTTACTTTACCCCCAAAATAACCCTTTCTGTACAAACGATTAACCCTGTATTACCATGAATTCCTGAAGAAAACGTCCCGCATGCCTCCACAGTGAACATAGAATCAAAGAATGAGAGCATTCTTTATTGATTAAAGTAAGTGGGGTCCATGTTCAACAACAGCAAAACTGCTTAAATACTAACAAAAAGTCTCAGCTTATAAATTAAAAGATTTGAGCAGAAATGCATGTGCTTTGGAAGTAGAGAGCATTTGACTAGATACATTAGACCTGGATTTGGATATAAAGTTGCAACTGAATGTAATCATATAGATTTGCTGTTTTTGAATGCAGCCCCGCTTTACCTAAGTTCATGGATACTTTGATCACCATGGAGGTATGCGAGAAAAACTCGAGTTTTCTTCACAAATGTAAGGGTAACACAGGATGAATAATTTATATACATCCCATGTTCATTTTGGGGGTGAAGTATGACTGTAAGTTTCTTGCTGAGTAACCCTATCACCTTGTGAAAACCTAAACAAAAGCATTTATCCTACAGAAAGAAGGATATTAAATTAGTGTGTCTAAAAGTGACCTTGTGACAACCCACTGAGCAACTATGTTTCCTAATGGGTAGATTTAAAGAGCTTGGGGTCAGATAGTAGCCAAATCAAATATTATATTTGGTACACTTAGCTGTTTGTTTTTGAGGGAATAGCAGGAGTCATTTTCATTATTTGAGGTAGGAATACAAACAATGCTGAGGAGAACATAATAAACAAGGCATACATCTTAAAGTAGGATGTGAACCTCCCCCCTCTCCCGTCGGCCCGTATGGTGGCCCAGATGGTCCAGGTCCACTGGGGATAATAATGGCAGACTAATGCAATGTTAACAGTGACAGTACATTAATGTAAAAGTGTTGTCTCATTAGCATTAGCCTGCTGTTAGCGGGCTGCTAGGCCACTGATGGCAGTCAAGGGGGGGTCAGGGAGTCCTGTAGAGGGCCTGCCGCTGATGTTACTGTGAATCTTGGTGGTGTGAAGAAGTTGAGATCCATGTTGAAGAATTTTAGACATCAATAGGTGATAAATTGGGGGGGGAATGATAGAGGGTCAACAATTCAGACCGAATTACAAGTGACAAAGATGGATTCGGTTGGTTGTGACGAAATTTATTAACCTATTCTTCAACGGATGATCTTTTCCTTCTCCCATCACTCTCTCCTTCTAATGTAAAGCTTTTATGTATCATGAAATGTAACAGGATGTGATTGGATTCATTCTAAATATTTCTTATTGTCAACAAATCCCACAAAATGAAAGAAACCAACAATGTGTAAGTCCTTCTCTCAATATCCTGTCTGTAGTCCTCAGCCCATTAACTCATACTAAAGACCTGCTTTGAATCTTATTATTATATAAAAAGTCTTAAGTTTCCTCAAACAGATATAGATATATTTTCAATATTTTACCTCATACAGTAAAGGAACATTTGATTCAGTGCAACTTGTGGCTCATTGATGTGTTTTCAATGACTTTTGGACTCTGGCTTTATCTACACGGACAATACTTGACAGTTGGATGAATCCATTCTTGGTTAAGTCTTTTCACAGGATTTGTTGGAAATATGAAAAAAAAGAGCAGCCCTATCCTTATCTGATAATACCTGAGTAAGTCGTGTAAGGTTTCAGCTGAGATATTGCAGAATAATGTTCTTTTCTCTGTCATTTTCTCTGCATCTCTTCCTCTCTGCCTCTGTTCCTTTCCTCCAGTCTGTCTCTTTTGGAGGAGTTTGACTGTAGTTGTAATGAGTTGGAGTCGTTGCCTCCCACTATCGGCTACCTGCACAACCTGAGGACGTTTGCTGCTGACGAGAACTTCCTCATAGAGCTGCCCCGGGAGGTAGGAGGAATCAACATACTGTATAATGAACCTTTACACATCCTCAGTCAACGAAAGAGAGTATCAATTATGGAAATGTACTGTTTTTTTATTTATTTCTATGAACATAATTTAAGTATTTATGTGATTCTCTACAGTTGGTCAAATAGCAATTAAAGATTCTATTTAGTTTGCTACTTTTACAGATGTTCAGACATTTTAAAGACCCAACCATTGATCCAGTAAATCTCTGGTACTTAAAACTGTAAATGTAATGTTGCATGTTCTAAGGTGTGTATTCAGTAATATACTTAATCGTATTGTGATCTGATAGTGTGTGTGTGTGTGTGTGTGTGTGTGTGTGTGTGTGTGTGTGTGTGTGTGTGTGTGTGTGTGTGTGTGTGTGTGTGTGTGTGTGTGTGTGTGTGTGTGTGTGTGTGTGTGTGTGTGTCTCAGATCGGTAACTGTAAGAACGTGACGGTAATGTCGATGCGTTCCAACAAACTGGAATTTCTTCCTGATGAGATTGGACAGATGACTAAACTAAGAGTCCTTAACCTGAGTGATAACAGGTACACACACACACAACATTTTCTCAATGGCCGTTTTGATTATGTAGCTCTTCTCATGGCCTGCAGTTTCCATGGGGATGGTGAGTGTGTTGCCATGGTTACGTGCTCTGCAGGCTGTACAGTGCGTGGGCACAAGAAACATCTCTCTTTTCTTTCTCCCCCCACCCGCCCTCCCTCCTTTTTTCTGTGTCTCTTTCTCAGGTTAAAAAATCTACCGTTTACCTTTACCAAGCTGAAGGACCTGGCAGCTCTCTGGCTCTCTGACAATCAGGTATCTCCTCCTCATAATTTCACCAGGAGAGAGTGTACATGCTAACAAGTAAAGTATGCAGCACAAACACACACAGCTTCAGTTTATATACAGTAAGTTAACCAGGCCCTTAGTGGACTCAGACTATTTGTAAGAGGTATTCATCTATGAATTCTTCCGTTTTATCATATTGATTATAAACGCCTGCTGTTGCCTGTGATGAAAGCCCAATATCTCCTTCCTCTGTTGCAAGTGCATTATTCCTTTATCTCCAAGGAAAACATTTTAAGTTAAACATCTGCAGGAAGGGTTGGGTATTACTGATACGATGGCCTCGTAAGAACTCAGATGCTCAATTCCGTTGCTTGGTAATCTTCTTTATTGTTAAGAAAACCAAAGCTATCAATAATGACTCCTAGGCTCTACTAGGATTCTCCATATAATCACTAGGTCCAACTAGGTAAAGTAACATGAATCTCTGGTAAACAGGCATAGAGATAACGACATCACAAGACGAACCGACACCAGACAAAGGGAGAGAAGGACTAAATATACACATTAGGCAATGGGGCACAGGTGGACACAATCAGGGGTGGGAACAACAATCACTCTAGCAGGTGCCACACGGACAGGAAGTGCCGACACCTGGAGAGAGAGAGTAGAGTAATTAACATCAAAAGACAGATATACAAAACACTAAAACACAACAGCTAACAGGATACTATCGCTAAAACCTTACAGTACCCCCCCTTTTACGGACGACTCCAGACGTCCCTGAAGCCTGAGACCGTAGTCTGTCAAAATCTGTGATAAGGGACTTGTCGACAATAAAGCTGCCCGGGATCCAGCATCTTTCCTCTGGTCCAAACCCTACCCAGTCAACCAGGAACTGTCTCCCTCTACCCCGCTTTCTTTCTGACAGTATTTTTTTCACTGTATAGATGATACCTCCGTCGATGACCCGGGGGGGTGGAGGTGGTGTGGGGGGGTGAACCAGTCTGCTCTCTACAACTGGTTTCAGCTTGCTGACATGGAACGTGGGGTGGACCTTGAGGGACTTTGGGAGACATAGGCGAACAGCAACAGGGTTAATAACTTTTGAAATGGGAAATGGACCAACGAACCGGGGAGCCAGTTTCCTGGAGGCGACATGAAGAGGAAGATCCTTGGTGGACAACCACACTCGTTGACCGACCTTGTATTTAGGAGATGGACGTCGTTTTCGGTCAGCCAAACTTTTCATGCAGGTCGCACTTCTCTGCAACATCTGGCGAACTCCCTTCCATACCCGGCGACAGCGGCGAACCAAAGCATGTGCTGATGGTACAATAACTTCCTGCTTGAGCTCCGGGAACAATGGAGGCTGGTATCCATGGACACATTGGAAAGGAGAGATTCCGGTGGCTGATGTGGGTAAGGTATTGTGTGCATACTCAACCCAAATCAGATGTTTTCTCCAGGTGGTAGGTTTCTGGGACACCAGACATCTCAAACAGGTTTCCATTTCTTGATTCATTCTCTCCGCTTGGCCGTTTGACTGGGGATGGTATCCGGACGTCAGGCTCACAGTGACTTGGATCAGGCGACAAACTCTCTCCAGAAACGTGAAACGAATTGTGGGCCTCGGTCTGAACGACATCGCTTGGGAAACTGGATACGAACAACATGGACAACATGGCTGCTGTGCATGTTTTCTCTGGCAGTAGGCAATTGTGACATGGGGATGAGATGTACATCATTTGGAAAAACGATCAATGACTGTGAGTGCTGTGTGTAACCTGCCGAAGGTGGAAAATCCTGTCACAAAAGTCCAACGCAATGTGCGAACATGGTCTGTTGGGAATGGGCAGAGGTGAAGACCTGCCGCAAGCTTGACGAGAAGTCTTGTTTCTAGCACAACACAGGAAATGCGCCGCATATTCTGCACATTCCTCCCCATAGCAGGCCAACCCCAGAATCTGTTGTTTCCACCATAAGACGGGTCCTCTAGGGGGTCCTCTTGGTTCCAGGATGGCAAGGAAAGAACAGAGGTTATGGCCCCAAATGAATCACCTTGAGAACGAAGTGTCCCTGGAACCAACAGCGATTCTGAGGAACACACCTTTATGGACATGATTCCCCTGTGTTTGCCTGTTTGACCTTAGGCTTCAAGGGGCCAGGGTCACAACTAAACAAAAAATATCACCTCTCGGTCCCTGGCCGCAAATGGGGTCTGGCTCTTGGGACGAACTCAGGAATCATACATTCGGAGAGTGGCATCCCGGGCTTTTTCCATTCTGCGAGTCCAGGTTTGATATGAACAGAGTGACCTAAATCATTAAGAACAAAGCCATCTGGCCTGTTCTACGAGTTCAGGCGTTGACCTTCCCGAATTGTATGCAGTTTTTGTGATCCGTCCAGACACTGGATCCCTGCTCCGCTCCCAGTCCAACCAGTGCCGCCACTCCTTCCAAAGCCATCTAACCGCCAACGTTTCGATTTCCACGTCGTAATTCCTCTAAGCAAAAAAGATAGCTTACGGGAAGATATGCCACAACGATCGAAGTTTGTGTCCCCCGCTGATTTCTGGACGTCATAGCGTCTACTTCCACCACAAACTGTCGTGGCGATTCAGGTAACAGTCAGGATGGGGAGCTGTGGTGAAAACCTCCCCTCTTCAGTTCCAGGAAAGATTTATCTGCCTTTGGATTCCACACCAAACTGAACATGGGGAGAGTAAGGGCATGGAGAGGAGAAGGCCAACAGGCACTGAAAATTATGTATGAAACGTCTGTAAAAGTTTAGCAAACCCAAGAATTGCTGAAGCTTTCTTTTTCTAGTGTCTGGCGTTTGCCAGATTAGCCAACGTCACTGACCTAGGCTGGGTCATTTCCACCTTTGTTAGGGGAATGCCACCGTGTTCACGATGAATCACATTTTCGGCTTTCACAAACAAGAGCCGAAAGTGCGCTGAGAACAAGGTGAACATGGAAGCATAGTAGACTGAGAGACAGGGAAATATCGATCGGAATGCACGCAAGAGACAGACGAGAACGACTGAGAAAGTGCTTAAACATCAGTTAATTGAGGGCTTGGAAAACAGCAGGTGCATTACAAATTCCAATAAGGCAGTCACCAAAATATTAGTAAATTGTGCCTGTAGGCGTATTGAAACCTGTTTTGCCACTCATCCCCCTCCCGGATGCGAAAGTGATAAGCATCCGGTTAAGTCGAGGCTTTGGGGACATGATCTGTGCCCTGGTAACTCTGTGTGATGCGCGGTGAGGAGATGAGTGGAAGGGGATATTCTTTTCTTAAATGTGATCTGATTTAGCGGACTGTATCATACAGGGCCCTCAATGTCCCGTCCCTTTTTCCCCACGAAAAAAAACCTGCCGCTGCAAGGGATGAGATGTGCCGAATCAACCAGCTTTAAAGTGAAGAACTCGATATATCCTTCATGGCCTCCCGTTCTGGCGCGCAGAGAAAGTGAGTTGACCAACCGTGCCCTTGGGGAATACTTAGGAGCCGACAGAATCTGTGTTCGACAATCGACGGGCGGACGTTGCAAGAGGAAGTAGCGTCGCTGTGTGTTAGTGAGCCTCCTGTGTCGTAAAGTAACAGCGCCGGAACTGTTATCCAAGAGATCAGAAGTCGAACTTGAAAAAGGAGAGCATCGTTATTGGCCTGATGCGCGAAGAGGTACTGTGGTGGACGCAAGCGACCGTACAAACAGAACAGACACGTCATCCCCCGACCGTGCAACCTCCTGTGTCTGCTCATTCAACGTGAGGTTGGTGTTTAGACAAGCCAAGGGTACCCCAATAAGATGACTCGAGATGTTGAGCAGAGTTAAAGTAAATGGGAAAACGTATGTTGCCTCACGGTTGTTCCTGATTCTTATACTAATCGCATGGCTCAGTGCGATGGGTAATAGTAATAAAAGGCGGCGCGTCTAAAGCACTAGCCTCTAAGGGCTGATCTAAAGAACAACCTTTAAGTTTAGAACTTTAGCCAACTCCCATCAGCCCCAGAAGATTCGACTAATGCATCCGAGTCATAGTATATCACCAAGTTGGGATTTTGTACCTGGCATTAATCTTCTGACCGAGCCAGTCTTAAGGAAGTCACTCGGGCTCGCACCAGCGTCTGCCTTCCGCTGATGAGGCCTGATCTTTTGCGAACAGGCTGCCGGGAAACTATGGACCCTGTGACCGCAGTAGAAGCACCGCCGCTCGCGCGTAGACGCGTGACGTTCCTCCGGATGTGAGTCTGGCTCTACCGAGGCTGCATCGTGTTCCTCGCGGCGATAGGGGGCGCTGGTCGCTCTGAAAGATGAAGACTTGGGAATTCTGCCAAACGTTGAGTATCCCTTGGTGAATTCCTGGTCTGAAAGGTGGAGTGGATTCGTGTATTCTTCCTTTTTCCCGCTCTCTTCCGCTAGACGTTGATCAACCCCCGGATAGCCATGGCGATGAGTGAGTCCACATCTTCATGCAGCTGTAATGGGCTAATTGATCCTTATGGGATCTACGCTAACCCATGCAGGAAAGCATCAAAGAGAGCCGCTTACGTTCCACCCACTCTCCGCTCCAAAGACGGAAATCGATTGCGTAATCGCGCCACTCTCCTTTGCCGGGCCGACTGCGTGGAATGTTCACCAGGGCTCTCGCTGACTCTCTCCCGTGATGTCAGATCAAAAATCTTGCTCATGTATCCATCGAACATTTCTTAGGAGTGAAAGCTGATATCAAACAGCACGCAGGACCGGGACCACTTCGCTGTTGCGCCAGCTTCGCGCGTCTGCCCCGTCAGATAGAAACAATAAAAGCTACCTAGCTTGGATCGGTGGAAAGTTACTGCGGGGCTGGTGTTTGAAGTGGAGATCGCAAGCACCAGGAAGACGGACAGTTTCCAGATTACTCCGGAGAATTTCTCTGGCGAAGCGAGTGGACGTAGAATGCACGGGTACTGAACTAAACACAGACCGACCCGCCTTGACCGGAAAGCTCTGCGCAGGGAACACCAGGATTTGCCACGAGGTGAGTGAGTAACTTCCCGCCATGCTTTCTCATCCGTTTAGGTTATTTTGCCGGTGACACAGTGAGCTGTGAAATGTTCTGACGAACAGTTAAGCCCTGGATCGCCATGAGGGTTAATTGTGACAGCTGTTCCTTCATGTTGGTGAAGAGGTGTTACCATGCAGCCTGCTCAGCGGCCGTCTTTAGCGTTTGGTGGAAGCGGCGGAGTCGCATTTGTTATCCTGTCGCTCATACGTATGGCCTCGTAAGGAACGCGGGCCTCGATCGCGTTGGCTTGTAAAGCTTGTTTATTAAGAGAAGACCAATAGCTAGTCAAGTAATGAGCTCCTTGAGGTGTGCTACTTAGATTCTCCATATAATCACTAGGTTCAACAGTTAATGTAACATGAAGCTCTGTAAACAAGTCATAAGGATATACAGATCACAAGAGCGACTCGCACCAACAAAGGTGGAGAGAAGGACTACTCGAATATACTGACACGGTAATAGGGTCATGAGGCATTACGTTGGACACAATCGAGGTGGGAAACAAACAATCATTCCAGCAGGTGTCCACGA